AAAACAAACCAGCCAAAGCTGGCAAAATATACTGATGACTGACAAAATAATAAAACATATTCTAACATTGAACTTTTAACTGTCCTGGGTCTCAGTGATATTAGGACGTAAAAATAAAACCATAAACTGGCAGTGCTACAGTTGAGAAGGGAGATCACAATGAGTTTGGTGTGCCCCAGGATGCACAGCATTGATGTGCATTGGGTCATGGGCATTCTCTTTATCCAAGTGTAAAGAGTGAGGAATATATGGAGATTTTTTTAAAACAACAACATCAGACACTTAATTCGCAAGTAAAATTAATATGAGACAAAGAGATGCGTGTTTCAATTTTAGCAAAATACCACTGGACTTGTGAAAATAAACACCTTAATACTTACCCCAGCTCCAGGTGACTCGGGCTAATAAATGCTGATTGGAAAAGTATATATTGTTTATATTAAGTAGTACTAAACGTATAGAAGTAACATTGAGTTTTGGTACCTTGTATTGAAAAAATGATGTTTGCAACGGATATATTATTTCCTTCTTTCTTTCTGGAGGAGGAAAAGGTAAATCAAATTTAATGGACATTTTTTTCAGTTTCTCCATCTCTTACCCCTTAACAGGTCAGCTAATTTATTAATGCAGTGAAGTAGTGCACAAAGCAAAAAGGAGAAAAGAGGAATATATTTCCTCTGATCATTGATCAAATCAGCCCCGGTAGAAGGGTAAAGAAGGGAGAATCCTCCCAAAAAAAAACTAAGAAAGGGACGAAAAAAGGACGAAAACTGCCGATAAGGCTTCGGTAGACAACCCTCCACGGGGCGAGGAGGGCGATGCCGAGGACTCGGAGTGGACCGTTATCCACTCCAAAACCAAAAAAAAAGTGGACACGAAAACAAAATACACGAAAGACCTAGACCCATACTAATTGAAAATTTGCCTAGGCATTTGGAAGATAATCTCTTTAAAGTAAAAAAGGTACTCGGTGATGCCACGATCACCAAAATCGTCAAAACCAAGAAAGGTAACCCCCCCCCCCCCCCCCCCCCCCCCCCGGCCCCGGGCCCTCAAAAACCACGGGGGGGGGTTTTGGGGGGGGGGGGGGGGGGGGGGGGTGTCAG